TAAATATCCTAAAACAGTACAAAATAATTGTCAGAAGAAATTCAAAACTTATAAAAGAAGGTGCTCTTGAAAATTTGTTTCTGAAGTCTGTGCACACACATTCAACATTTCATATAATTGATGAAAAGTTTGGTGCTATTTCAGGAGCGTAGTTTAACTCGATTGTGGATCTGATGTAAGTGACTTACATGCTTCACCGTTCAAGGTCAATGTTTGCTGGCGGGAAAAAATCAATGTGAAGCGAGCGTTGCGACCACATTACTGAATAAAGAATCTCTCGCAAATAAACACATATGAAGAAGATGGAAAATGCAGCCATTGCAATGAAGAAAGCTTCTAAGTAGTCGACCTACGGTTGGAATATGTTTGCCATCTGAAGGAAGAATGCATTTGAATTTCTCATGCATGATTAGATTAGCGAATGCTCCACAAATAAGAATAAGAAAGTTATGAGTTTTGAAAGTTAAGATCACTAATGATGTGGAGAATATCCAATCGGCAACTCGGTCTTGATGTGTGATGCTATAGAGTGAAAACCCTGCCATTTGCAATGTACAGTAATTACTCAAATTAACCCTTATTATGTAATTTTGATGATAAAACATACTATTTGCATGTTACACTATGTGTGCCAGTTTTCATATCTCCTACCACAAACAAAATATCTGTTCTACCAAAATAGTTGAGGATATGGTAATATGATATGGTAAAAAGTGAGAAAAAATGAATTAATATTTCATACGATATAAACTGTACACAATTAAACAATACAGTATAGAAGGTCCTAATTTATTAAGGTATTGGTTAGTGGTTAGTGGTTTTGTATGATTTATGTTTTCATTACTGCTTCTAATATCTGCTAGATTCTGCTGATATTGAGAATTCTGTGCAAATGAAACCTTACCAACAAAATATCGTGCTGGTGGATTATGTCCATGGATTATGTCTGTGAAACCTTTCAGTCATCAACTTTACTTCTGTTATATTTTTTAAGATGTCTGAAGTTTACGATGAAAACAACAGATGGGTCCTTAGATTGAATCCAAGATGGAAATGGGAAATAGTAGGTGATGAGTAGAACATCTGACTGGTAGTATGCTTGACCCACACAGGTCATGACCTTTGGCATCGGAAGTCATAAGGTCAAAGTGGGAGGAATGTGTGTAGGTGGACCATAACTGTATTGAAATAAGAATGGAAGAAGAACCGGAAGATGAGGCAGAGAGAGAGAGAAAGAGAGAGAGAGAGAGGGGGGGGGGGGGGGGAGAAAGGGGGTTGAATTCAATGAGGACAAATGTAATGAATGTAAAAGTAGAGTAAAAAATATATTGAGCAAGTCTCATGATAGAAAGTACTGTCACACTTCATAGATAGTCCTTTAGCGTAAACTCAATGGATATCTTATGATTTCCCATAACGCTATGAAGATATTGTTATATTTTCCCCCAGTTTGGCTTGAGAATCTTCATTCTGACCATATTTTCTAGGATATTTCCTCCCCAGTTTTTCCTTCAGTCGTGCCAACGCCATGGCAGGCAATTCCATTATCTCCATATCCGCTCCATCAGCAATATTAGCGCTCCTTTCTTTATATTCCCAGTATTGACACGACAAGAAAAGAAAACTCTCCTCGAACCTCATCAGAATCAATATGAATCCTCATTGATTTTTTTACCACCTCTCCCTTTTAACTTGTTGCATTAGTTTGCAGGGCATAGTGCTCATCTATTTTCCCCCCTTTTTTCAGATCATACAATCGGGGTTTCTCCAAGAAGAGCTTGCATGGGAAATATAGACATGTTATGAGATGTGATTCCTTTTATTGGATATATCCCCTCAAGGTTCAATTTTGATTTTGTCTATCTTACCTCAAAACATTGCAGACAATTATTGATTTCTTCACCTGTGAAATATTGTCTTTCGATAGATTGTGGTTGGAGGCAGTGCCTAAAGGTAGTGCAAAGATTTTCTTGAAAAAGGGGGGAAAATGAAGAGTATTGTTTTGACGGTGTGGGTTATTTTGTATTTTGTTGATTTGCACTTTCTCTCTAGTTTCCATTTGGGGGTTGACTAAGCTCACAGCCACCGTATTTCAAGAGTTGATGCATTGTACCATTTGTGACTTATGACTGTTTAACCACAAGTCTTGCAGTCCTTATATATATTCTTATTGTTCTTAACTGTTTTTACTATTCATTTGGGATAGATGCGGTAGGTGGAGATTGGGATGTAGATAAATTGTTCATTGAAATAATATTTTGATAGGTCTATGGTTTAGTTTTATGATTATTATACAAGAGGGAAATGAAATTACATTTTTCCATTACTGTGTCAGTTATTTTTTATCCTGAATGATGATGGTGATGGTGATGATGAAGATGATGATGGTGATGATGATGATGATGATGATGGTGATGGTGATGATGCTGATAGCGATTATGATGGTGATGATGAATGATAATGAAGATGATGAAGATGATGATGCTGCTGTTGATGGTGATAATGATGAGGGCAATGATGATGGTGATGATGATGGTGATGATGATGATCATCATCATCATGATACGGTGTAATATGAGAACTATTTTCTTGTAAAACGCCACTATCTATAAATGAAATGGATGTATTACATGATGCTTACATATGGTGCATACATACAATGTGACAGAAAAAAAAATAGTAATGATATAATGATTTTGGAACTTGTAATTACCAGAAAGAATTATGAGGCAACCTATAATTATGATAAGCCTAATGATGTGAAACAGAGAGATATTAGGAGAAAATATTACCAGGAAATTATATTGAATATTGTAATGTATGACAGAAATTGCTTGTCCAAAATGGTAATAAATCTATAAAGATGAAATATGGAAGTGAACTGAAGAAATACAGAGGAGTGGCTGATATCTGTTGCCGAAACTCCTCTTTCATGACCTGTCTAATAACCGCTCTCCATAAATCAAGATATTTGGATCCTCTGATTACTACTTCCAATTTCCGTTTTGTATCATTAAAATGAAAGAGGATCGGAGACATATATTAAATAGAGAGAGAGAGAGAGAAAAAAAAAAAGAAGACAGAGACTGTGCGTGTGTGCATGTGTGTGTTTGTGTGTGAGTGTTACGAAGGAGATCAATGAAGAACCGTCATGCTATTGCATTGTGAAAGAAACGTTGTGGAATCGATCAGAAAAAGGTTGATCATCTAGCATATAAGTATTGGTGTGCACTGCAAGGTTCTGGAATCATCAAAATGATAAGAAATTTGGCCCAGTCTTAGTGAAGTTACAAGCACTGTAAATAGAAAGATTTATACGGGACTACGCGACACGTGCGCGACACTTGCGTTATATCTATCAGGTCCAAATAGATATAATAATGTGCCAAATATATCAATTAGTAGGCGGTTTCTCTGCAAAAATTGTATGATCACGTATTAGTCAAAAACATATTTTTTCACATGATTGGTTGGTAATAAGAGCTTCCATTTCATTTTTTGAGAGGGGGGCGTTTCCAAAACTGGTCTTTACTTTTAAGCATCTCTTGTTTACGTAGTAATTCTTTTAAAATTTGAACCAACGCAGTTTCTAGCATGAAAACAAAATGCCGAATTCCATTCATTATTAATCTGAAATGTTCGGTGTGCACTTCAGAAATACATAATGAATGACCTGTTCTCTAGTAGATTTATATAATTATGGAAATTTTCTCTCAAAGTCATGAACCTGAGAGGAATTTCAATGACCCACTTGACACATCTTCATACTCTCCGTGGAGTCGTTCACTTCCTGCATACATATTGTAATTCCTTGCTGTCTGTCTCTCTTTTCCCTCATTGTCTTCACTCTCTCCTCGTAGTATACCTTTTCCATGGCTATTCTCTTTTCTCCCTTTCTCACTCTACCCCCTCTCTGTATTTCTCTTTCTATTTCCCTCTGTCTGTCTGTCTGTGTATCACTCTCTCTCTCTCTCTCTCTCCCCCTCCCTCTCTCTCTCCCTCTCTCCCTCTCTCCCTCTCTCCCTCTCTTCTTCCCTCCCTCTCTCTCTCTCTCTTTCTCTATCTTTCTCTATCTGCCTCTATTTCTCTCTCCCTCTGTCTGTCTGTCAGTCAATCTATCTTTCTCTCTCTCTCTCTCGCTCTCTCTCTCCCTCTCTCTGTCTGTGTCTGTCTCCCTCCCTCACTCCCCCTCTCCCTTTTCTTACCTTTTATCTTTCCTCTGTCCGTCATGTGTGGGCAACATTCTTTCAATCCCATTCCGCTAACCATCAACCAAACCGTGAAGAAAGGCACCATTCCCTGCAATAATTTGGTTGTTAAAATTCCTCTTTCAACCAATTTGTGGCTGTGGTATGAAATAATCTCCTTTCTATCCACGCCCGTTATCAACATGATCATGAATATTAGTTTCAGTTGTTGACAATCTGGTTCCTTATTAAACCTCTGTCCACGGGATGGAATAAAAACCAGCATGGGTGGGCTTCAAATAAGTACGTTCTTTAATAGGTTTTAAAATATTGATATTATCACTCCTCATGATATATTGCTTTCCTTATCAATTTGAGCTCTGATAGCTCCTTCTGATCTTCATCATGTATGGACCATGTTTTTTTTAAATAATTTTTTAAAACCTATAGTTTGGAATTTTTTTTTGATCTGCACTCGAAATTCTGTTGTGATTGTGAATAGAAAATCTTCTTCTTCCCTTGAATGTTGAAGGTTATAATGATGTTAATGATTAATTATGGAGGTCATTCATGGTAGAATGAATCAATCCGAATACAAATATTCAATCTATGGTAATAACCTGATGCATCATAATATTTCTACAAAGATTTCGTAGGTTTCAATTTTTTAATTCTCATTACCTTATAAAGATGTTAACTCTCTGTAAATCTGATTATGTTTGAAGAACACCCTACTAGCTTACAGCAAAATTATGTATTAAAACTTACATTAAGTATGAAATTAATGTAATCTTTTTCTTGTCGTTTTCACAGATCACGAAGGTACCTGTAGAAGAATGCAGTAACTATACAACCTGCTCAGAGTGTGTGGAAGGACCAAACGGTGTAGGAGATCCATACTGTGGATGGTGTACTCTACTTGCAAGGTATGTTAACACTCAACCTGCTATCGAAAATAATATCGCTAGTGATATTCGTTTGTCCCGCAATGTATGGTCAACAAGGAATCTAAAAGATCACGACCTTACGTGCACTGCTGCAACACTTCGTCAGGTGATAAAATCTAACGTAAGCAAGCGTGTTTTCTACTCTACGGGCGGATCCAACGGTCAATTATCTTCTTTGGTTTGAAACTTAACAATAAAAAGAATGATTGGATTGAGGTTTAGTTTTTACCTCACTGCTATGAAAGCAAGTATGCCTTCAGGTGAGCAAAGAAGGACAACCCTTATCCAAAGGTCTTGATTCTTAGGATAAACGTCTTTCTAAAAGGCATACATATTCATCAACTTGGTTTTGATCCACGGATCTCCCGGTTACCCCCGGTTACAAGAACACCATTTACCAACTGAGCCATTGGATAAGTTTTAATAATTCAGAGTATTTTAAGGTTGTTGTTGTTGTTGTTGGTCTTTTTGTATAGGCTTGGTGAGTTTGGCTGTTCGTCATCAAGTTTGGGTGCATCGTTTGTAACGGTATTCAGCAAAAACAAAACAAAACAAAAATTCAGTTGCTTAGGGATACTAGATCAAGAAGAATATAAGGAATTAGGTTTGTGGCCCCATCTTAGATTTTAAGATCTTTTTCAGGAAACGAGGAAATGAGTCTATGCCCTTAAGTTTGATGAAAACCCCAAACGAGATGAATTCGAAAAGAAGAAAGGAGAGAGATTTCAAGGGCAGGTGCGCTATAAATCTTCTAAGAACTTAAGAAGCAAGGATTTACTCTGCTTCTCCGTTACCAGAGCATTTTGCTCATTTAGCAAAGTCTTCTCGTTGAGATGCGACAGTATTCCAGCGACCTCCAGGGATGGATGATGAAGATGAGGATTCTTCCAATTTGCAGCAATTTTATTTCCCTGGTGACCCCACCAGTACACATCAAGCAGATTGTTCTCTCGGCTTGGATGATAACAAAATGATTCACTCTTTCTCAGCCATACCATATCATAGAGAATGTCAACACGGGGGATTGGATGGAAGGAAGGACGTGAACTCGGGTGTTTTTTGCATATTTGCCAGGGAAAATTTCAAACAAAAGGAACATGAGAGGTGTATTGTTTGGTACTTCATACTTGTGTTTGCCGTGCGTTATGTTTCATGGTGAGGGGGAAACTGTTATGGCGTGGTAAAATGGCCGTAAAGTGGCTTCTACTCTGAACAGGATGTGAGTAACTGTACTCGGACCAGGCCGCGTACCTGGTCATTAAACAAACAATGCACTCCATTCCCCTTGCAACCTTTCCCCATTCCTTTAAACATTTCTATTTCTTTACCTCACCCTTTTTTCTTTCTTTCCTTCACCTTTTTTCTTTCTTTCTTTCCTCTTCAACAATAAATACCAGCCTGTTTGCAAACAACAATATCTCTGATTTCATGAATTTTGTTGAGAAATAGTCGTTTTTCTCCGAACAAATCTTGTGTCAAAATTGACCCTCTGTTTAGAGCCCAAAGGGCATTGATTCTGTATAACTGTACTGAAATTAATAACACTTTCTAGCTCTCTGGAGACAAAATACAGCATTAGTTTTTTTACACCATGGTGTCTAAAAATTAACTACTTGCAGGTCTTGTAAATGGTGTAGTTGTAACATTTTTTATACTTTTTGTACAATTCGATAATATCCTAACAGTAACAGGTGTACTTGGTAGATTTTGTGATTTTTTTTTTCCAGCTCCAATTTGTGGCATTTAGTGGATAGTACACGATTGATGAAGTTTTTAAGAGGTATAGTGTACATTGATTTAGGAAGAGGCTGTAATATATGAAAAGGTTAAGGTGAAATATTCATGTAACTTAATCTTAACTTGACATGATACTAATGAGTAAAATCCTTAGTTACCTGCAAACACGAACAACTAGTAGAAACAGTAGATTTAGTCTGTAAACTCAGACTGTTATGTGGTGGTGGTTATTTCACCTGACTGCTAAGAAAGCATTAATGCTTTTAAGTAAGCAACCAGACATCCGACGGCTTTAGGTTCTCTCCGAGGAACCTGGTAATGAGGATTAATGCCTTACCAAGGGGCAATAGCGCATCGCCTTGGTTTCGAACCTGGGTCACCGGATTACGAGACCACTGCTCTACCGACTGAGCTATCTACTGAGCTATTGGCGACTCAAAGAGAATTGAAGCCTATATGATGTATAAGTTTGATGTCTGTGTTTTGTTTTGTTTGGAATGTAGCCTGCTGTAGATACTGTATAAGGCAATAAGTGTTACATTTGACATACATGTAGGCACTGATACTCTTGTCAAGGCTGGAGTGTGGCTTGAAAGGATGTCAACTTGGTGAACAGTGGAAGTGAGGTTGTGACATGGAGACGCACAGCAGGTAACAGACTTGATCTCCATGGGGTGGAGGTTGTCACACATTAAAAATTCTTCCTGTCTCCACCAGACTTCATTGTACCACAATTTTTGTGTATGGAATTGAATTAAAAGGAGTTGGTTACTGCATCAAGATTTACTACCCTGTAGGATGGAAAGGAGAAATTGATTAATCATTGTCAAGGATATAAGAATTTTGAAGGTCAAAATGGAGAGAGACTTCTGTATCCATCCCTAAATCTTCTTCAGAAGAGGACTGATCAGTATGGTGCTAAGCTAAGACAATCATGATTCCAAACTCAACACTCACTCAACCCATAACCAACCTACATTATTAAAGAGGATGTGAGAATTATAGATTTCAACAGATTTATCATCGTCCTGGGAACAAATCAATCCTAATGTACACCCAAAAAATATTTACAAGGTATGTGATTGGGATATTGTGTGTTGATGAATGAGGTCCCTTTGCTCAGGGATGATGTTGAAACACTTTCTTCTGAGAAATGGAAGTATATTCAAGAAACTCATGAATCTCAAGTGTGGTCTGATTAATATGCTGCAGCAAAGGGAGTATCTTGATACTCTATCGTAAACAATATTCCATGTGACATCTAAAGAAGACGTCATAAAACGACTAACATCTAGTAACTTTTTTTGTGTATCACATCAGCTGTATATTACTGTGTGCATTTGAGAGAAGGAGAGAAAGAGAAAGAGAAAGAAAGAAATGAAAGTGTGAGAAGAGAAACATAGATAGGGAGTGAGAGTGAGAAAGAAATAAAAAGAGAAATAGATGTAGAGAATGAGAAAGAAAAGAAAAGAGAAAATGGAGAGGGGGGAGAGGGGGAGAATCAGGGTGATGGGGGAGTAGAGAGAGAGAAAGAGAGAAAGAAAAAGAAAGCACCCTTAAATAGAGTACCATCTACATCTCCACGAGTTCTGTTTCTCAAAACATTCAGCCATAGCTGAGCAAATATTTTGAAGATGCACATTATCAAGAGCCATTATCCAATTCGATTCCCTGCCCTCGTGTGTACCTAGGGAGTGCTTGACAAAATTCAACTGCTGGAACGGAGTTGAAGAAAGGAAATCAAATGGAGATTGAGGGGGATGGTAAGAGGTAACGATATAGAGGGAATGGGTAGGGAGGCAGAGAGAGAGAGAGCAAGGAGCAGAAAAGAGGGGGGGGGGGGGGAATAGAGAGAAGAAGTGAAAAGAAAGGCCTATGATCATGTGCCTTAGGAAGTTCTTAGTCGATCACTGACTAACTGAGAAAGAAACATTGTAAAGGATGGTAGGAACCAAAGAAGTATGTATTTTTCTATTTGATTTTAAGAAACTTGACAAAAGCTAAGAAAAAATTTATCTTTACTTATACATGTAACTTGTAAGAAGAATTAAAGCTGAACGATGAGGTTGTATGGAATAGAATTCTTGATGATACTATTGAGTGATGATGTCTAGGTACTCCAGATGCAATGCAATATTCATTTTTGTTTCTGGGTTAAATTGAAGGGAAAGTGCTTGCCTGTTTGATCTATCAAATATGTATATAAAAATAGCATGAAGAGAAAAATCGGCCAAAGAGGCTGTTGTATGAGAAAGATATGCAAATTATGGATTAGGAAAAAGATGATGGGTGCGAAAGTGGGGAGGGGTGCGGGTAAGAGTTGAGCGGGGGAATAGAAAGTAGAATAAGAGGGGGCACTGAAAGATGGAGCCTCCGAGAGCGGTTTATAGGATGCTAATTCTGTCCCCAACCTTATTTTTCTCCGAAAGCAAAAGATCACCTTCCCTGTTTACAAGGTCAAGTGTAGGAGAGAAGTGGTTTGGTCTAAAAGTGGCCCGAGAATGTGCATAGTTAATGAAGGGCCTCTATATGAGTATGTTCACATTGCTGTTTGTTTTCCAGTTGATGCTGCACATAAGCATCATAGTTGGATTAGGAATAAAGGATATGCTCTTTCTCCTCCTGAACTTTTTTTTTTTTTTTTGGGGGGGGGGGGGGGTTAATTTGTTGTATTTATTATTTTGTACCTCTCTCTGTTCTCCGATATTAGCCTAATCAAACAAAATTAAATTTGAGGTATGATAATGTTCTATAAGAAAAAGAAAACATATTGGAATGCAGTTCAATTGCTGTTTTGATTGCATTTGAGCTTGTGGAAAGAATTTGAAGCGTGAATAGTCGGTTGTTGTGATACGCTTTGGTTAGAGTAGTATTGAGAGGAAATTGCTCTCTGTCTTCTGGATGGCCTTTTAAATCAAACAGCTACATCCGTGACAAGCGCATCAATTCTAGCTCTATAGGTGTAATGTTATTACTTAAGCATATCAAACAGTTTTATCCGTCCATGACAGTATCTTACGAGCTCATAGCCAGCGTTGTTGTTCATTTTATCAGCTACATCCATTTCAAGTGCATTGATTCCTACCTTATCTAAAGTATGAATGTATTGGTAAATGTATTCAAGTTTTCTTCCTTAATTTGATATTTCATTAGTTTAGACTTTTCAGCCTTTTTTTTTCCTGAAAATGATGTTTTACCTTTTTTTTATTTTTTAAATGAAATTATTGGATATGAAATGTTACTTCCAGCCTGTTAAATAAAATTATGAGATATGTCCATATTGATAAGACCCTCAATTAGGTTTGATTATAATTTACATTTTATGAAATTTTGCCGATAGTTTCAAAGATAACTATGAATACTGCAAATTGAAGCAAGAAGAATATCTTTTTTTCCAAAATCCCAATTGCCAATGCTATTGTCAGTCCCACATATAGCATATTGTGTTGGTGAGTATGAATCTGACCTACATTCATAGGATGGATGAGGATAGGACCTATTTGCACTTAGTGTTAATTTGATGCAGTCCTGTCATCAATCAACGCTATGTGCTTTGAGATGAGGGATGAACAGAGCTCCGTCTGTCTCTATATAATGCAGCTATCACTCTGCTTCAATGGGTGACGGTGCTCAGTCAGGCATGACTGCTCCAAAACAAAGTAATTAGAGAACAAACACCTCTGACATCACGATGATGAAGGCTTGATTATGGATGGTAATATTAAAATGTGTCTTATTCTGAACTTGACTTGAATCCTAAATGATTTTAAAGTTTGTATGTTTGTAAATAA